GGTCCCTCCTTCCCTCTCTCCCTCCCTCCCTCCTTCATTCCTTGGCACCTTCTACACCCTCCCTCTCCTTCTCTCCCTTTCTCCTCTTCTCCTTCTCTTCCCCTCCCTCCATCGCTCCTTCCTTGGCACCCTCCAAACCCTACCTCCCTTCACCCCCTCTCTCACTTCACCCCCTCCCCCACTTCACCCCCTCCTTCCCATCACCCCCTCCTCCCATCACCCCCTCCTTCTTGCATCCCCTCCCTACTTGGCACCCCTCCCTCTTTCCCTCCCTCTCTCCTTGGCACCCTCTGAGGCAATTGACCCATCTCCAGTGCCAACATCGTCTACACACAGTTAAAAGGTTCATCAGAAGATAATGGTGTGTCCTTGGGTGAGGAACGAAGGCTCGCTCATTACCTGTATCTTGGCGCTAATGAGATAAGTTTAAGGTAGTTGCCTCAGGTGTAACAAGCACTGCGTCATATCACTCCTCACTGAATGACCTAATCTTCTTCATGAGAGGGTGAGTGTGAGGGGAATGAATGAGAGAGGGAGAATGAGTGAATGAGAGAGGGGAGAGGGTTAGTGTGTGTGCTCACGGTGGCCCTCTTGCCCACGGTGGCCCTCTTGCCCACGGTGGCCCTCTTGCCCACGGTGGCCCTCTTGTCCACGGTGGCCCTCTTGCTCACGGTGGCCCCACTATGGTTACGTTAACTAGTTGGGTCTATTCCTCAACAGTGTTACTTAGTGATGGATGGGCTGACAGATTATATTGTGGACTGTCTGTCTGTCTCTCTCTCCCCCTCTGTCTGTGAGTCTTCTCTCTCTCTCTCTCTCTCTCTCTCTCTCTCTCTCTCTCTCTCTCTCTCTCTCTCTCTCTCTCTCATCTTGTATTTTCATCTTTATATCTCTCCCCTTTTATCCATCTCCTTATACTTCCCTGTTCTTGTTAAGTTTGCTCCTACTCCCCTCTTCATCTACCTTGCCTCTTTTATTCTTAAGGCTTCCCATCTTCTTCCTCCACCTACACCTCCTCCTCTTTCTCCTGCTCCTCTTAGCCTTCTGATCCTCCTCTTACTTCTCTTCCCCTTCCTCCTCTTCCTTCTTTCCTCCGCCGCCTCTTCCTTCCTTCCTTCCTCCGCCTCCTCTTCTTTTTCCTCTTCCCTTTCTCCTCCTCCTATTCCTTCCTCCCCTCCTCTTCCTCCTTCTCCTCGTCCTTTCTCCCTTCATCTTCTTATCCTCAAGTCGTCTTCCTCTGTTCTCTTGTTCCCTGGACGCTAAGGAACTCAGTTAATTCCTCGTAACCAAGAAAATACAATAGTGTGTGTGTGTGTGTGTGTGTGTGTGTGTGTGTGTGTGTGTGTGTGTGTGTGTGTGTGTGTTTGTGTGTGTGTGTGATGAAGAAAGGTCTTTCTATCTGTCTCACTTCCTTATCACACTTTATAGCCCTCTCTCTTTTCTTCATTTCTTCCCTCCCTCTCCATCCTCTCTTGCTTATCTTTTCCTTTATTCCCTCTCCACTCCCTCTCTCACCCTTCATCAGTGGTGGGCACGGTTCGGCTAATCCGCTAACCGCTAATTAGCGAAGCATACTTTCTCGTTAGTGGATTAGCGTTTTCGCTCACTTTGGAAACTAATAACTCCCTGCCTTTTGAGCTACCAATTAGCCCCAACTATGGGGTTTCAGGTGAGATTTGATGTTTTGTCTTTCTGGAAGTAATTAATTGGTTAAACCCCTCAAATTCCAATTCCTGAGAAAAGTCAATTTTAATTACATAAGGTGTTAGACTTGTGTTTTTGGCCAAAATTGATTTTGCTGAAAAATCAGTATATGCACTTTGAGCATGTTGCTTGCAAATACGATCCTCATTTCGATTGGGGCTAGTTAGTGGCCTAATAAGGCTTGGAGTATTTTTCGGACTTTTTCAATGCTAATTAAACTTTAATATTCGAAAAATTCCATTCACTCCGGCTGCAGTGGCTGGGTCTTCTCCATCGCCTTGACGTGATGCTGGTTGCCCTTCATAAACATCAGCCTCTGAAAGTTGCCATCTGACTGGGTGGCTCTCTTGGCCCTAAAGATATCTTTGCACGTACTAACACGCAGTCAGCCAAGAGTGCCTGACTGGCTGTTGGAGACACGCGTCGCGGCGTCAAACGCTTACAACACACAGGAACAAACATGTATAAATTTTGTTAGCGGAACTAAATATAGCGGAAGCTAATTAGCGGTTATGGAACCGTGCCCACCACTGCCCTTCATCCCTCACACATACACTCCTTTACTCCCTCTTCTACATTTTCTCCCTCCTTCTTCTTCCTTCTCTCTTTCTCCCTTCCCTCATCTTTGTTTAGGGAGGGAGGAAGATGGTGTTTAGTAACTGCCTGCCACTCTGCCTGCCTGCTACTCTGCCTGCTTGCCACCATGCCTGCCTGCCTGCCTGCCACTCTGCTTGCCTGCCTGCCACCCAGTCTTGTATTGTTTATATTCACAATAACTCCATAAGTGGCTGCCAGCCTAACCGGGCAATGCACTCAACTCCTTCGACTCACTCGGCTCACTCAACACACTCAAGTCACTCGACACACATAACTTTCTCGACGCTCTCAATACATGCAAGTCACTCATCATAACACACTTAACGCAACACACACTACACACTCAACACATTCATCTCAGTTCCTTGACAAATAGAGCCTTCAATTCAGTCTTCCCTATTGAGTGCGAATAATTGGCGAAGTTTGAAATTCAGACTTGAATTTCAATTAAACTTTCAGAATCTTTTGTGTGCGCGGCGCAGATTGTTAGTGATCTGTGTACACCATTCAGTCTCTCTCTCTCGTGTGTGTGTGTGTGTGTGTGTGTGTGTGTGTGTGTGTGTGCTTACTCAACCATTCACCCTACCCCTCACCCCCACTTCACCACACCCATCACCCCACCTCACTACACCCCTCACCCAACACCCCTCACCCCTCACTGCTAAGCAACCACCCATCAAGGAGAAGAGAAAACTAATGAGGGAAAATTTGGACTAGATGTACCACCGTTTTGGAGAATGGTGGGCGTCATTTGTGGGTGATACTGGTGGTGGGCGATTTTTGGGGTTGGTATTTGGGCGTCTGTTAAACCCTAGAGTGAGGAGATTTTATTTCCGGGTTGGTATGGCTGTTGATTTGTTTGTTAGTATGGTTGTTGGTCTGTCTGTTGGTCTGTCTATTGGTCTGTCTGTTAGATCTGTCTGTTTTTCCGTTCCGTTGGTTTCTCTGTTCATAGGCTTCTGGGTTTTGATCAATATTTAGATCCGTTTATTCCCGAATCACATCGATGACAGCACCAGCCGATGGCCTCCTTCTGATGACTCACAGTGGACGGGGAGAGTTGCCTTAAAATAAAAGAGTATCGATACAAAGATCACTTAGAGTAATTTTATTTTTAGTGTTAGTAAGTCACTGGTGCGGGTCTCTTTCTGGAGGCTGACCAACAAGAACTAATGAATTCCTTATGGCTCGTATCTTTAGTGGACAGGAAGAATTACCTTAGAATACAAGTCTTTAATGTTAACCCTGACTCTTGCATCGATATCAAGGTCACGTAAACCAATTTTGTTTATAGTCGTTGGTAAACATTGATGCAGTTGTCTACACGCTCAAACCAGTCTGTACAGTCCAGTTTATACAGTTACAGACTTAAAGCAGCACTAGAACCGACCAAATAAACCGATCCTTTACACACACAAACTGGTATGTGTATACGTATGTGTGTTGGTGAACTGAGTGTGTGTGGGGGGGGGGGGTGCTTGAGTGCATAGTATGATAGACTTGGTGTACTTGGTTGTGTGGTTATTGTTTAAAAAGACAACTCTCATTAAGTCAACATTTAGGTTGTGTCGCTGTTTTAGGGACGGTTGACTGTCCCATTGCCTGTAGGAGGTTGATTAAAGTTCACAGCTTGATTGGGTCGGTCCCTATGGCCAACGTGTGAGTTAATTACACAGGTGATAAGGCGATGGATTGATTAACGGGTCTTCAAATACATTAAGTGTGGGGTTAATATAGGACCGATACTCCTCCTCCTTCCCCTCCTCCCCACTACCCCCATCCTCCTCTCCCTTCCCTCTTCCCCCTCTACCTCCTCCTCCCTCGCTCCTCCCCCCCTCTCTCCCTCCCCACTCTCCTCTCCACTCCCCCTGCTCCCTCTCGCCCTCCCTAACCCATCCCCCCCTCCATCTTTCCTTCCCCTCCCTCTCTCCTCCCACTCTCTCTCCCCTCCCCTCTCTCTCCCCTCCTCCCTAGTAAGGGTTCCCTCACTACTCCACGAGGTGAATCCCAATGGGGTTTTTCTCCCGCAGTAACGAGGATGCCACAGGCCGCCTTGTTGACTCGCTGCTTCAGGTGTTATCTCCAGCTGGGTCTTCCTTCAACAGAGGGGGTAGAGTGGGTGCCGGGGGATGTCAGCGTAATTGTGGATCTGTCGTATTCCTCCGCTGTTGATGCTGACAATTGGTGATGATTCCTCCGCTACTGATGCTGACGCTAAATGACATTCACTGATTTCCTCCACAGACGTTGCTACGGATGGTCTTGTTCTTGGGATAACACTGGCTGACACTCGTTGATTTCTCCTCCTCGCTTCTACTGTTGATTTAGTTCTTGGCTGACACTTGCTGACATTTTGTTTCTACTGTTATGACAACCAACGCCTGTTTGTACTTTGTTTAAGATTTGGGTGAGAAATAATAACAGTCTTTTTCTCTACAGATGAACTGAAAAGGTCTCCGGCAAATCCTCTCCCCCTACACACACCTGCAGCTTCAATCACCTGCAGCTTCAAACACCTGCAGCTTCAATCGCCCGCAGCTTCAAACACGAAGCTCAATCACCTGAGCTTCAATCACCTGCAGTTTAATCACCTGCAGCTAAACACCTGCAGCTTTAATCACCTACAGCTTCAATCACCGCAGCTTCAATCACCCTCAGCTTCAATCACCCGCAGCCTATCCACCTCAGCTTCAATCACCTACAGCTTCAATCACCCGCAGCTTCAATCACCTGCACCTTCACACACCTGCAGCTTCACACACCTGCCTACGACATCTTACCCCAAGTGAAGTGTGGCTTATGGCTGGTGTAAGTAACCTTTACAAACTACAGTTATGACAACCAAAAACCTGTTGTTAACCTTATCGTTTTCAAGTTACTTTTTTGTTTGTCTTCCTGCGTTTGGTCTGTCTGTCTGTCTGTCTGTCTGTCTGTCTGTCTGTCTGTCTGTCTGTCTGTTTATGTCCCTCAGTGTCTGTATGTATGTAGATTATGATAGTTTGGTTCGATTAGATTAGGTTAGGTTTTAGGGGTAATCAGGAAAGTACAGAAATGCCTTGGCAAGAATTGAAGACAAAAGAAGGTCAATGTTTTTATCAGGACTTATGTTACATTCTGCATAAACATCAACTACTGTCTTTATCTTACGGATAATGTGACTGTGGCGAGATAAGAACGAATGAGCGAACCTAGATAAGCAAACTTCTTTATAACTGTACCTCGTTAATGAAGAAATAACTGAGAGATTTGAGAGCGAAGAAAGTGTGTTTTGTAATGACCACAAGAGACGTTATTGATTTATATATCTGTCATGTTTACGAAGAACAAGAGAGACATTACGTTGTTTTATTATGGTGTGTGTGTGTGTGTGTGTGTGTGTGTGTGTGTGTGTGTGTGTGTGTGTGTGTGTGTGTGTGTGTGTGTGTGTGTGTGTGTGTGTGTGTGTGTGTGTGTGTGTGTGTGTGTGTGTGTGGGTGTGTGTGTGTGGATCCTATTAGTGGTAAGGTGGAGCCAGGGAAGGGCTGTTAGGTTTCACTATTAATGCTGAGAGAAGGACAGAGTTCGCCATAAAAAAGAATGACTCAAGAAATGTTGTTAGGTCCGGTTGAAGGAGGATTTGAAGGAGTGATTGGGAGTTCCGGGTTGGAGGAGGAGTAGGGAGTAAGGGCTTGTATAATTGTTAGTATCTTATCCTTCCCTCTCTCTACAGACCCTGATGATGTGTGGGTGATGTCAACAAACAGTGTCTAAATCCTAAGCTTCAAGACTTAGCTTAAGACAGTGGAAATTATTACATCAACTGTGTCGTCTTGCAATTTCCAACACCTGCCCGGTACCTCTTATGGTTGATGTAAGTGATCTGTACAAATTACCTTTATAAACAATGTATACCTTAGGATATTGTTCTGTTCTTTAGTTAATTATTTTTTTTTTTAAGAATTTAGAAAGTGGTTAACTTAGGTTCTCTTTTAGCCTACTTGGCCATGGTGCTATAATTACGGTGGTTAGGTTATGTTTGGGTAGGATTAGGTTGGTTTGATGAGGGTTAAGTTAGGTTTGATTGGATTGTGGTAGGGTAGGATTAAATTGGTTAGAGTTAGGTTAGTTTGGATTGGGTAGGATTAGTTTACAGCATCAGAGGAACTAATGTTGAAAGGCACGACACCTCTCAGTAGAGTCTGAAGGAAGATTAGCATACATTAACTTCCTTACTAAACCTTAACCATACATTAACTTCCTTACTAAACCTTAACCATACACATCTCGGGGGGTTGACCATATACCAATGTTTACACCGAACAGTAAATAAACCAGATTTAGACTTTAGCTGAGATGTATTCCTCCGTGATGAATTCTCGACCCTCGAAGTCCAAAACACCTGAAGATTAACCCTTCCAGTATATTTCACCTGATGATGAAACACCTTAACGCTACCTGGGAAACAACATACTTATACAGATTACTTATAGAATAACACACACAAAATAAATAAAATAGCACCTCTGAAACCCATAGTTGGTGAGTAATTAGCATTGGAAAACATAATTAAAATATTCCGACCATAATTAATGCCACTAATTATCCCGCAATCGAATCTTGGATCATAGATTCGGCATCAGCATCGCTCAGGAGTATCTAATTAAGTACAGGGGGGTATGGTCAGCTCCAACCCTGGTTTATTAATTTTAGAACCTAAATAATCTTCATAAAAAAAATAGATTGATATACCTTGCTATTAAAAAGGTAAAAAAATCTCGCCTCTTAAAAACATCTCCCCCCCCCTCTCGCTCCTATTGGATTAACGTTTACATCCTCTTGTCTTCTTAAACTACTGGGTGTTGGTACGGTCTCCTTTGCCCCCCCCCTTCCCTTCCCCACCCCCCCACCCCCCACCCCCTTTTGAGTCTTTTACTTGTGGGTGAGGCTTTACAGAGAATCCTATTCCTTGTTCACGAGAGCCTGCCTCATCTTCACCAGCAATTCGGTTACCAGGCCCAGTGTATAATCGCCGAGTTGTAGCTGTCCAATATACCAGTTGCTCTATTCTGCTCTGGGAAACTACTACAGATTGCCCACTCTTCGTATTATTTTCTTAGAGAGGGGAGGGAGGGGGAGAGTATCACGTTGATCTTTCTACTGATGGAGAACTTCAGCCCCTCCCCCCTTCCCTTCCCCCCCTTCCACTTTTTTTTTTGGCCCTGGATTGTCTTCCTAAAACTGGGACTCGATGCTGGTTCTTTAACTGGATACAAGTCCTGTGTCGATGCTGTATGACATAGGTCTCTCTCTCTCTCCCCTTCCTTCTTTTCTCATTTTTCTCTTGTTTGTTTCATCCATCTCTTTTTTTTTATTTACCCCTTCCTCTCTTCCCTCCCTCATCCTCCTTCCCTTCCCTCTTTCCCTCCCTCCTTCCCCCTCTCTCCTTCCCTATTCACTCTCCCCCTCTCTCCCATATGTTTTTACTGCTCACTTTTTATCTAAACTTCACTATTTTTACATCTCTCTCTCTTGTCCTACACACTTACACACTTTTTTTTTTCCTCTTCGTATTTTTAAGCTTACTGAAGGAGCACTACAAACTTGTGAATATTTTACAGTGGCTGATTATCCTTACGTTCCTACAACCCGTACCTACAACCGTTCCTACAATCTGTTCCTACAACCCTTCCTACAATCTGTTCCTACAACCCTTTCTACAATCTGTTCCTACGACCTTACCTACAACCCGTGCCTACTCCGTACCTACAACCTGTACCTACTAACCCCGTACCTACAACCCTGTACCTACAACCCCGTACCTACAACCCACAATCTGTTCCTACAATCTGTTCCTACAACCCGTTCCTACAACCCGTTCCTACAAACCCTTTCCTACAACCCGTACCTACAACCCCTACCTACAACCCCTACCTACAACCCGTTCCTACAACCCCTACCTACAACCTCCATCCGTTTGTACAACTCACCACAACTCTTTTAGATTCTTTGGCTCAAATTATTGCCTTTCAAGAGGATGCAATCATTCTTGTTTATGTGTTCATTACCTATATCACACCTGTATCATCATTAACACACCTGTATCATCATTAACACACCTGTATCATCCTTAACACACCTGTATCATCATTAACATACCTGTATCATCCTTAACACACCTGTATCATCCTTAACACACCTGTATCATCCTTAACACACCTGTATCATCCTTAACATACCTGTATCATCCTTAACATACCTGTATCATCCTTAACACACCTGTATCATCCTTAACACACCTGTATCATCCTTAACACACCTGTATCATCCTTAACACACCTGTATCATCCTTAACACACCTGTATCATCCTTAACACACCTGTATCATCTTAACACACCTGTATCATCCTTAACACACCTGTATCCATCCTTAACACACCTGTATAATCCTTAACACACCTGTATCATCCTTAACACACCTGTATCATCGCCAACACACTGTATCATCCTTAACACACACCTGTATCATCCTTAACTTACACCTGTATCATCCTTAACACCTGTATCATCAGCAACACACCTGCATCATGTAACACACCTGTATCATCCTTAACTTTTTACCTGTATCATCCTTATACACCTGTATCATCCTTAACACACCTGTATCATCCTTAACATACCTGTATCATCCTTAACACACCATTATCATCATATCCAACACACCCATCATCCTTAACACCTGTATCATCCTTAACACCTGTATCATCGCCCAACACACCTGTATCATCGCCAACACACCACATTATCATCCTTAACACACCACATCATCCTTAACACACCCGTATCATCCTTAACACACCGTATCATCGTAACACACCCGTATCATCCTTAACACACCCGTATCATCCTTAACACACCCACGTATCATCAACAACACACCTGTATCATCAACCAACACACCTGTATCATCCTTAACACACCTGTATCATCATATACACCTGTATCATCCTGCTACACCTGTATCATCCTTAACACACCTGTATCATCCTTAACACCTGTATCATCCTTAACACACCTGTATCATCATAACACCTGTATCATCCTTAACACACCTGTATCATCCTTAACACACCTGTCATCATAACACACCTGTATCATCCTTAACACACCTGTATCATCCCTTAACACACCTGTATCGTCCTTAACACACCTGTATCATCCTTAACACACCTGTATCGTCCTTAACATACCTGTATCATCCTTAACACACCTGTATCATCCTTAACATACCTGTATCATCCTTAACACACCTGTATCATTCTTAACACACCTGTATCATCCTTAACACACCTGTATCATCCTTAACACACCTGTATCATTCTTAACACACCTGTATCATCCTTAACACACCTGTATCATCCTTAACACACCTGTATCATCCTTAACATACCTGTATAATCCTTAACATACCTGTATCATCCTTAACGTACATGATATCAGTGATGAAGTTTTTGTTTCACCTGTAGACGATATTCAGTCAGTTAGTTAATGGTATACATTGTAGATCTTAAAAGTTAAAAGAAGGCAAGCTGCTGATGGGAGACTAATGAGGCGTTTTTCCCACAGGTGAGGGTGAGTGGACCTACAGGCCACACGGACCACGACTCACGGACTACTAAAACTACCACCAATAACGGACAACCGTCAGAAATACACAACACCACCAATCACTGTGGGACAGTGTGTGTTACTGAGGGATGTGATCATGTGTGTGTGTGATCGTGTTTTTTTTTTTTTTACGGGGATCTGCCCACCCGGGCACAGTCCACCGACCCACATCGGGGCCCAGGGGGCGAAAATGTAATAATAACAATAATAATAATAATAATAACAATATTAATAAATAAAGAACCATAAAGAAATACAAAAATGAAAACAAAAATCAAGATTGAGAAGCAATATATGTATGTTGTGTTGTCAATAGTAAGAGAAACAATTGAGACCCTGCAATTGTGTGTAAATGAGGCAGTAAGTCAGATGAGTAACCTGGGACTTGGTCACAATTTTCGTGATGCCATATGGCAGCAGGGTCTACCATTAGACAAAACATTATGCTGCCAATATCTTCCCAGGCGGTAATACCTCCCTGTTTGATAGCTGCCTACTACCTATGAATGTATTTGTTATTAATCTTCAGGAGTATTAAGCCAGGATCCGTAATTGTTACATTAAGGTTGAAATAAAACTCTGTATTGTTAATATTTAAAGAGTTCCGTTATCAAATGCGATAAATCAATAGACATAATATTGTTAAGAATACTGAAGCTTATACTGGGCGAATTTACTGCCTTAAACTGAGTGTTAACTGACCTATACTGACAGGGATTACTAACGAGCACTGACAGGATTTTCTGACTTATACTATGAATGGCTGTATTATAATATTGTATGAACTTCAGAAATAAAATTTTCTAAAACCCTGAAACAGTTTTCTTTGTTTTCTACCAATTTTCTTTAAGAGGCAGCAAAATGATGGGCAATAGGCCTGCACACCGCTACCACTCATAGGAGGGCCTTTGGTGGCGTCGCCACCCCTGGGAGGGCACCTGGGAGCACCGCTGCCCCTGGCCGGGCCCCTGGGATCGCCACCGCACTTCGGAGGGCATTTGGGGGAGCCGCCGCACCTGAGAGGGACCCAGGTTGGCGCCACAGCCCCGGGGAGGGCCCTTGGGGGCGCCGCCAAGGGCACTGGTGTCTCCAAGGGCCGTGCCAGGGGCGCTGGCGGCCACAGGAGCCCTGCCAGGAGCGGTGTTGCCCCTGGCGTCCTCCCAGGGGCGGTGGCTCTCCCAGTGGCCCTGCCTTGGGCGCTGGCGCCCCTTGGGGACATGCCAGGAATAGCAGCGCATACATGGGCCCTCCCAGTGACGGCGGAGTCTCCAGGGGGTCTTGCGAGGGGCGCTAGTGGCCCAGGGGCTCTTTCAAGGACAGCGGGGCTCCCATAAGCCTTTCCAGGGACAGCGGTGCCCCCAGGGGCCATGAGTAGGGACGGTGGCGCTCCCAGGGACACTGCTTTGGGCGTTGGCGCCCCCAGGGGCCATGCCAGGGACAGCGGAGCACACGGGACCTCCCAGGGGCTCTCTCAGGGACAGAGTAATAAATAGGCAAAAACTACTGCACCCACAGGCCCTACAGGCCTGGCGTTCCTAGGGGCAGTCCTCAGGGCACAGGTGTCCCCAGGGGCTCGCCCAGTGACAGCCGCGATCCCAGGTGCCCTCCCAGGGACGTCGGCGGCCCTAGGAGCACTCAGAGATGGCGGCGACCCAAGGGCCCTCTCAGGAATGCAAGATCCCCCTAGGGTTTTCCCAGGGACAACTGCGCGCTGAGGGGCCCTCCCAGGGATGGTAGCACTCCCAGAGGGCCTCCCAGGATCTGCGGCACTCCCATGGGTTCTCCCATGGAGAGCAGCGCCTCCAGGTGCCCTTCCTGGGATGGCGGCACACCAGGAGCCCTGCCATGGGCGCTGATGTGCCCAGGGGGTCTCACACGGATAGCGGCGCATCCAGGGGCCCTCACGGGGACGGCAGAGCCCCCGAGGCCCTGTTAGGGGTGCTGGATCCCCCAAGGGCTTTCCCAGGGACAACTGCGCTCTCAAGGGGCCCTCCCATGGTCAGCAGTGCCCTTATAGGGGCTTCCAGGGACGGTGGCGCCCCTAGCCACACTGCTAGGGGTGCTGGCGCCCACAGACGCTCTTCCAGGGACATCGGAGCTCCTAGGGGCTCTCTCAGGGTTAACGGCGCCCCCAGGAGCCCTCCCAGGGACGGCAGCACCCCTAGGATCCATGACAGGGGCGCTGGTGTACCCAGGGGGTCTCTCACGGACAGCAGTCCCTTACTTATTTATGATTGGAAGACTATTCTCTTAACACACCAACTTACAGCCAATAGGAGAAGAGAGCAGTCAGTCAGCACAACACCCCACCTTATGTTTTCCTGTTGATATTATTCGCCGTTACCTTCTTCAGAATGCGATGATACTTATGGAAATGTGATGGGCGGTGTATTTATTTAACGTTGCATCTCCCAGAGTAATAAATAGTGCAAAAATTACTGCCCCCTTGGGCCCTACAAATCTGGCGCTCCCAGGGGCTCTCCAAGGGACATCAGTGCTCAGAGGGGCTCTCTCAGGGACAGCAACACCTCCAGGGGCCCTCCCAGAGACGGCGGCACCCCCAGGATTCCTGCCAGAGGCACTGGTGTGCCCAGGGGGTCTCTCACGGACAGACGTCCCTTACTTATCTATGATTGGTGGACGATTCTTTTAACCCACCAACTTACAGCCAATAGGAGAAGAGAGGAGACAGTCAGCACAACACCCCAACTTATGTTTTCCTGTTGATATTATTCTCTGTTACCTTCTTCAGAATTCGGTGACACTGGAAATGTGATGGGCAGTGTATTTATTTAACGTTGCATCCCAGAGTTCTAAATAGCGCAAAAATTACTGCCCCCATGGGCCCTACAAATCTGGCGCTCCCAGGGGCTCTCCAAGGGGAGGCGGTGGCGCCAGGAGCTCTTCCAGGGACGGAGGCGCAGCCAGGGGCTCCCCCAATGACCGTAGCTCCCCCACGGCCCTCCCAGGTACTGCTGTACTTTCAGGGGCCATGCCAGGGAGACTGGCTCCTCCAGAGGGTCTTCCACGGACAGCGGCGCTTCCACGGGCCCGTCCGTGGTGCAAGCGCCCCCAGGTGCTCTCCCAGGGACATCGGTGCTCCCAGGGGCTCTCTCAGGGACAGCAGCGCCCCCAGGGGCCATTCCTGGGACGGCGGCACACCACGAGCCCTGCCAGGGGCGCTGATGTGCCCAGGGGTTCTCACACGGATAGCGGCGCATCCAGGGGCCCTCACAGGGACGGCAGAGCCCCCGAGTCCCTGTTAGGGGTGCTGGACCCCCAGGGGCTTTCCCAGGGACAACTGCGCTCTCAAGGGATCATTCCATTGTCAGCAGTGCCCTTATAGGCGCTTCCAGGGACGGTGGCGCCCCTAGGCGCCCTGCTTGGGGTGCTGGCGCCCACGGACGCTCTTTCAGGGACATCGGAGCTCCTAGGGGCTCTCTCAGGGTTAACGGCGCCCCCAGGAAAGAATGCAATATTTACGACACCAGTATCCATTTTTTTGGGGCGCTGCCTCCCCTAGGAGGACCTATTGTGAGCCACAGGCGTTGGCAGGGTCCCTGGGAGCAGTGGCGCCCTCCTAGTGGCAGTGGGTGTCTTTCCAGGGGCGGCAGGATCTCTGCCAGGGGCGACGGCGCTCCCAGGGGCCCTTCCACATGCAGCTTTACCCCAAGAGCTTCATATTTTTGTCGTACATTTTGCATTCGTCCAGTAATCCCTTACTTAAACGTGATTGGTGGAGTAAGATGTGACGTCATAAAATTACAGCCAATAGAACAGAGCAATCAGTCAGCACAACACCCCAACTTATGCTTTGCTGTTGGATATTTATTCTCGTTTCACTATTTTAAACTCTGGGAGATATGATGTTAAATAAAATACACACTGCCCATAGCATTTTCAGTATTATCGCAACTTGAACAATGAAATGGAGAATAAATATCCAACAGCAAAGCATAAGTTGGGGTGTTGTGCTGACTGGTTGCTCTGTTTTCCTATTGGATTCAATTTGATGACGTTACCTCTTATTCCACTAATCACAGTTAAGTAAGAGATTACTGAAAGAATGCACTATGTACGACACCATTATCCATTTTTTGGGGGCGCCGCCTCCCCTAGGAGGACCTATTGTGAGCCACAGGCCTTGGCAGGGTCCCTGGGAGCAGTGGCGCCCTCCTAGTGGCAGTGGGTGTCTTTCCAGGGGCGGCAGGGTCTCTGCCAGGGGCGACGGCGCCCCCAGGGGCCTTCCACATGCAGCTTTACCTCAAGAACTTCATATTTTTGTCGTACATTTTGCATTCGTTCAGTAATCCCTTACTTAAACGTGATTGGTGGAGTAAGATGTGACGTCATAAAATTACAGCCAATAGGAGAACAGAGCAATCAGTCAGCACAACACTCCAACTTATGCTTTGCTGTTGGATATTTATTCTCGTTTCACTATTTTAAACTCTGGGAGATATGATGTTAAATAAAATACACACTGCCCATAGCATTTTCAGTATTATCGCAACCTGAACAATGAAAAGGAGAATAAATATCCAACAGCAAAGCATAAGTTGGGGTGTTGTGCTGACTGGTTGCTCTGTTTTCCTATTGGCTGTAATTTGATGACGTTACCTCTTATTCCACCAATCACAGTTAAGTAAGAGATTACTGAAAGAATGCAATATTTACGACACCAGTATCCATTTTTTTGGGGCGCCGCCTCCCCTAGGAGGACCTATTGTGAGCCACAGGCGTTGGCAGGGTCCCTGGGAGCAGTGGCGCCCTCCTAGTGGCAGTGGGTGTCTTTCCAGGGGCGGCAGGATCTCTGCCAGGGGCGACGGCGCCCCCAGGGGCCCTTCCACATGCAGCTTTACCCCAAGAGCTTCATATTTTTGTCGTACATTTTGCATTCGTCCAGTAATCCCTTACTTAAACGTGATTGGTGGGGTAAGATGTGACATCATAAAATTCCAGCCAATAGGAGAACAGAGCAATCAGTCAGCACAACACCCCAACTTATGCTTTGCTGTTGGATATTTATTCTCGTTTCACTATTTTAAACTCTGGGAGATATGATGATAAATAAAATACACACTGCCCATAGCATTTTCAGTATTATCGCAACCTGAACAATGAAAAGGAGAATAAATATCCAACAGCAAAAGCACTATGTTAACTATCCCTATTAATTGACGTCCCTCTTATTCAATCACAATTATCAGAAGATTACTGAAAGAATGCAATATTTCGACTTACCAATTATCCATTTTTGGGGCGCCTCCCTAGGAGGACCTATTTGTGAGCCACAGGCGTTGGCGGGGTCTGGAGGGCAGTGGCGCCCTCCTGAGTGGCAGTGGGTGTCTTTCAGGGGCGGCTTGGGATCTCTGCCGGGGCAGCTGGCCCCAGGGGCCTCCCACATGCAGCTTTTACCCCAAGACTTCATATTTTTTGTATTACATTTTTCATTAGTCCAGTAATCCACTTACTTAAGCATTGATTGGTGGAGTAAGATGTGGCGATCATAAAATTACAGCCAATAGGAGAACAGAGCAATCAGTCAGCACAACACCCCAACTTATGCTTTGCTGTTGGATATTTATTCTCGTTCACTATTTTTAAACTCTGGGAGATATGATGATGTTAAATAAAATACATACTGCCCATAGCATTTTCAGTATTATGCAACCTGAACAATGAAAAGGAGAATAAATATCAACAGCAAAGCATAAGTTAAAGTGTGCCAACTATTCTACTCTATTAACTGCTGAATGACGTTACCTCTTATTCCACCATTCACAGATAATCAAGATTACTGAAAAGAATCTATATTTACGACACCAGTATTATCCATTTTTTGGGCGCCTCCTAGGAGGACCTATTGTGAGCCACAGGCGTTGGCAGGGTCCCTGAACGTGTGGCGCTCTAATAATGGCAGTGGGTGTCTTTTCAGAGGCGGCAGGATCTCTGCTTAGGGGCAACCCAGCCCCCAGGGGGCCCTTCCACATGCAGCTTTACCCAAGAACTTCATATTTTTGTGGTACATTTTGCATTAGGTCAGTAATCCGCCTTACTTAAGCGTGATTGGTGGAGTAAGATGTGATCATAAAATTACAGCCAATAGGAGAACAGAGCAATCAGTCAGCACAACACCCCAACTTATGCTTTGCTGTTGGATATTTATTCTCGTTTCACTATTTTTAAGCTCAGGAGATATGTTAAATAAAATACACACTGCCCACTTAGCATTTTTCAGTATTATAAGCAACCTGAACAATGAAAAGGAGAATAAATATCAACAGCAAAAGGTGAAGTGTTAATGCTGACTTCAGCCTATTTTCAATAACTGTAATTGATAACGTTACCTCTTATTCACAATCTGATAGTCATATTATGATCAAGACCTATTGTGAGCCACAGGCGTTGGCAGGGTCCTGGGGCAGTGGCCCTCCTATGGCAGTGGGTGTCTTTCCAGGGGCGGCAGGATCTCTGCCAGGGGCAGCGGCGCCCCCAGGGGCCTTCCACATGCAGCTTTACCCCAAGAACTTCATATTTTTGTCATTACATTTGCATTCGTCAGTAATCCCTTACTTAAGCTTGTGATTGGTGGAGTAAGATGTGACGTCATAAAATTACAGCCAATAGAACAGAGCAATCAGTCAGCACAACACCCCAACTTATGCTTTGCTGTTGGATATTTATTCTCGTTTCACTATTTTTAAACTCTGGGAGATATGATGTTAAACACACACTGCCCATAGCATTTTTTCAGTATTATCTCAACCTGAACAATGAGGACCTGTGTGAACCTGGCGTTGGCAGGTTCCTGGGAACAGTGGCGCCCTCTAGTGGCAGTGGGTGTGTCTTTTCCAGGCGGCAGGATCTCTGCCAGGGGCAGCGGCGCCCCAGGGGCCCTTCCACATGCAGCTTTACCCCAAGAACTTCATATTTTTTGTGGTACACATTTTGCATTAGTCCAGTAATCCCTTACTTAAACGTGGTGGTGGGTAAGATGTGACGTCATAAAATTACAGCCAATAGGAGAACAGAGCAATCAGTCAGCACAACACCCCAACATGTGCTTTGCTGTTGGATATTTATTCTCGTTTCACTATTTTAGAAGCTCTGGAATATGATGTTAAATAAAATACACACTGCCCATAGCATTTTTCAGTATTATACTTAGCCTGAACAATGAAAAGGAGAATAAATATCAACAGCAAAACGCCAAGTTGGGGTGTTGTGCTGACTGGTTGCTCTGTTTTCTAATGGCTGTAATTGATAAGCGTTACCTCTTATTCCACCAATCACAATTAACTAAGTACTGAAAAGTAATATTCCGACACCAGTATCCATTTTTTGGTAGCCTCCTAGGAGGACCAATTGGCGACCTTACGAAGCGTTGGCAGGGAGTCCTGGGGCAGTGGCGCCCTCCCTAGTGAGCAGTGGGTGTCTTTCAGGGGCGGCAGGATCTCTGCCAGGGGGCGGCAGCGCCCCCAGGGCCCCACATGCAGCTTTACCCCAAGAACTTCATAATTTTTGTGTTACATTTTGCATTCGTCCAGTAAGCCCTTACTTAAACGCGTGATTGGTGGGTAAGATGTGACGTCATAAAAGTACAGCCAATAGGAACAGAGCAATCAGTCAGCACAACACCCCAACTTATGCTTTGCTGTTGGATATTTATTCTCGATTTCACTATTTTTAAACTCTGGGAGATATGATGTTAAATAAAATACACACTGCCCATAGCATTTTCAGTATTATCTCAACCTGAAAATGAGGACTAATGGCTGAGCCACAGGCGTTGGCAGGGTCCTGGGAGCAGTGGCCCTCCCTTGAGTGGCAGTGGGTGTCTTTCCAGGGGCAGCAGGATCTCTGCCAGGGGCCCGGCGCCCCCGGGGGCCCCTTCCACATGCAGCTTTTACCCCCAAGACTTCATATTTTTAGCTACATTTGCATTCGTCCAGTAATCCTTACTTAAACGCGTGATTGGTGGAGTAGATGTGTGACGTCATAAAATTACAGCCAATATAGGAGAACAGAGCAATCAGTCAGCACAACACCCCAACTTATGCTTTGCTGTTGGATATTTATTCTCGTTTCACTATTTTAAACTCTGGGAATATGATGTTAAATAAAATACACACTGCCCTTAGCATTTTTCAGTATAATCGCAACCTGAACAATGAGGACCTATTGTGAGGCCACAGGCGTTGGCAGGGTCCCTGGGGAGCAGTGGCACTTTTCAGTGGCAGTGGGTGTGTCTTTCCAGGCGGCAGGATCTGCCAAGGGCTGACAGCTTTGGGGCCCCTTCCACATGCAGCTTTACCCCAAGAACTTCATATTTTTGTCGTACATTTTGCATTAGTCCAGTAATCCCTTGCGCCGAAAGCAATGATTGGGTGAGTAGATGTGACGTCATAAAATTACAGCCAATAGGAGAACAAGAGCAATCCAGTCAGCACAACACCCCAACTTATGCTTTGCTGTTGGATATTTATTCTCGTTTCACTATTTTTTAAACTCTGGGAGATATGATGTTAAATAAAATACACACTGCCCATAGCATTTTCCGGTATTATCTCCAACCTGAACAATGAGGACTATTATTGTGAGCCACAGGCGTTGGCAGGGGTCCCTGGGGCAGTGGCGCCCTCCTGAGTGGCGGTGGGTGTCTTTCCAGGGCGGCAGGATCTCTGCCAGGCGGCGCCCCCAGGGGCCCTTCCACATGCAGCTTTACCCCAGGCTTCATATTTTTTGTCGTACATTTTGCATTAGATCCAGTAATCCCTTACTTAAGCATTGATTGGTGGAGTAAGATCAGCTGACGTCCTTAAAATTACAGCCAATAGGAGAACAGAGCAATCAGTCAGCACAACACCCCAACATGCTTTGCTGTTGGATATTTGTTATTCTCGTTTCACTATTTTAAACTCTGGGAGATATGATGTTAAATAAAATACACACTGCCCATAGCATTTTCAGTATTATCGCAACCTGAACAATGAAAAGGAGAATAAATATCAACAGCAAAGCATAAGTTGGGAATGTTAATACTGACTAATTACTCTGTTTAACAATTTGACAATTACCTCTATTCCACCAATCACAGTTAATAAGAATTACTGAAAAAATCACAATATTTATTTACCAGTATCCACTTTGGGCGCCTTACTCCCTAGGAGGAACCTATTGTGAGCCACGAAGTTGGCAGGGGTCCCTGGGAGCAGTCAGCGCCCTCCCTGATGGGTGTCTTTCCAGGGGGGCGGCAGGATCACCAGGGGCGACGGCGCCCCCAGGGGCCCTTCCACATGCAGCTTTACCCCAAGAGCTTCATATTTTTGTCGTACATTTTGCATTCGTCCAGTAATCCCTTACTTAAACGTGATTGGTGGAGTAAGATGTGACATCATAAAATTACAGCCAATAGGAGAACAGAGCAATCAGTCAGCACAACACCCCAACTTATGCTTTGCTGTTGGATATATATTCTCGTTTCACTATTTTAAACTCTGGGAGATATGATGTTAAATAAAATACACACTGCCCATAGCATTTTCAGTATTATCGCAACCTGAACAATGAAAAGGAGAATAAATATCCAACAGCAAAACATAAGTTGGGGTGTTGTGCTGACTGGTTGCTCTGTTTTCCCTTTGGCTGTAATTTGATGACGTTACCTCTTATTCCACCAATCACAGTTAAGTAAGAGATTACTGAAAGAATGCAATATTTACGACACCAGTATCCATTTTTTTGGGGCGCCGCCTCCCCTAGGAGGACCTATTGTGAGCCACAGGCGTTGGCAGGGTCCCTGGGAGCAGTGGCGCCCTCCTAGTGGCAGTGGGTGTCTTTCCAGGGGCGGCAGGATCTCTGCCAGGGGCGACGGCGCCCCCAGGGGCCCTTCCACATGCAGCTTTACCCCAAGAACTTCATATTTTTGTCGTACATTTTGCATTCGTCCAGTAATCCCTTACTTAAACGTGATTGGTGGAGTAAGATGTGACGTCATAAAATTACAGCCAATAGGAGAACAGAGCAATCAGTCAGCACAACACCCCAACTTATGCTTTGCTGTTGGATATTTATTCTCGTTTCACTATTTTAAACTCTGGGAGATATGATGTTAAATAAAATACACACTGCCCATAGCATTTTCAGTATTATCGCAACCTGAACAATGAAAAGGAGAATAAATATCCAACAGCAAAGCATAAGTTGGGGTGTTGTGCTGACTGGTTGCTCTGTTTTTCTATTGGCTGTAATTTGATGACGTTACCTCTTATTCCACCAATCACAGTTAAGTAAGAGATTACTGAAAGAATGCAATATTTACGACACCAGTATCCATTTTTTTGGGGCGCCGCCTCCCCTAGGAGGACCTATTGTGAGCCACAGGCGTTGGCAGGGTCCCTGGGAGCAGTGGCGCCCTCCTAGTGGCAGTGGGTGTCTTTCCAGGGGCGGCAGGATCTCTGCCAGGGGCGACGGCGCCCCCAGGGGCCCTTCCACATGCAGCTTTACCCCAAGAACTTCATATTTTTGTCGTACATTTTGCATTCGTCCAGTAATCCCTTACTTAAACGTGATTGGTGGAGTAAGATGTGACGTCATAAAATTACAGCCAATAGGAGAACAGAGCAATCAGTCAGCACAACACCCCAACTTATGCTTTGCTGTTGGATATTTATTCTCGTTTCACTATTTTAAACTCTGGGAGATATGATGTTAAATAAAATACACACTGCCCATAGCATTTTCAGTATTATCGCAACCTGAACAATGAGGACCTATTGTGAGCCACAGGCGTTGGCAGGGTTCCTGGGAGCAGTGGCGCCCTCCTAGTGGCAGTGGGTGTCTTTCCAGGGGCGGCAGGATCTCTGCCAGGGGCGACGGCGCCCCCAGGGGCCCTTCCACATGCAGCTTTACCCCAAGAACTTCATATTTTTGTCGTACATTTTGCATTCGTCCAGTAATCCCTTACTTAAACGTGATTGGTGGAGTAAGATGTGACGTCATAAAATTACAGCCAATAGGAGAACAGAGCAATCAGTCAGCACAACACCCCAACTTATGCTTTGCTGTTGGATATTTATTCTCGTTTCACTATTTTAAACTCTGGGAGATATGATGTTAAATAAAATACACACTGCCCATAGCATTTTCAGTATTATCGCAACCTGAACAATGAGGACCTATTGTGAGCCACAGGCGTTGGCAGGGTCCCTGGGAGCAGTGGCGCCCTCCTAGTGGCAGTGGGTGTCTTTCCAGGGGCGGCAGGATCTCTGCCAGGGGCGACGGCGCCCCCAGGGGCCCTTCCACATGCAGCTTTACCCCAAGAACTTCATATTTTTGTCGTACATTTTGCATTCGTCCAGTAATCCCTTACTTAAACGTGATTGGTGGAGTAAGATGTGACGTCATAAAATTACAGCCAATAGGAGAACAGAGCAATCAGTCAGCACAACACCCCAACTTATGCTTTGCTGTTGGATATTTATTCTCGTTTCACTATTTTAAACTCTGGGAGATATGATGTTAAATAAAATACACACTGCCCATAGCATTTTCAGTATTATCTCAACCTGAACAATGAGGACCTATTGTGAGCCACAGGCGTTGGCAGGGTCCCTGGGAGCAGTGGCGCCCTCCTAGTGGCAGTGGGTGTCTTTCCAGGGGCGGCAGGATCTCTGCCAGGGGCGACGGCGCCCCCAGGGGCCCTTCCACATGCAGCTTTACCCCAAGAGCTTCATATTTTTGTCGTACATTTTGCATTCGTCCAGTAATCCCTTACTTAAACGTGATTGGTGGAGTAAGATGTGACGTCATAAAATTACAGCCAATAGGAGAACAG